GTAAATGTATGTGTGCGTGCATAAAAGAAGTGCAGAATGATAAGAATATCAGCTTTGAGGGTTCAGGGTATCTCCTAGTCGAGCAGTCTCGACTAGAGTCTTCTTACTTGTTATATATTAAATTTATTTTTTATATATTATATGTCAGACACTTATTTCAATATTTACTTATTATTTTTACATATTTAAATAAATAACTATTAACTTTGCCTTTGATTAAATTTATTTATAGCTGCATATACCTATTTTATGGAATTTATCAATACTTATTTTCAAATTCATAAAGAAAATAAAGTTCGTATAGTTGTTAAAAACTTTCTCTCTCTAGGGTATTCCATATTCGTTGCTCTGCATTATTATTTTCTCTTTGTTTTTGTTTATTCCGTTTTTTTTTTTTTTGCGTTTCATGTTCTATGCACAAATGCTTTGTTTTGCTTTTTTGTAAAAAAATATTACTGCAATTTTTTCTGTTGACTGTTTTTGTGATGCGGATCCGTGAGGCGGTGGGGTGGTTGGGCGTGGGCGTGGAATATGGGACCCGTGTTCAGAGTCAGTCGCTCGTTTGCTGAAGTTCGCACCCAGCTGTCTGTTGTGTTTTCCCATTATTTGGGCGTATTCATCTTGAATGCCTCTTTCCCCTCGCCCCTCACCGCTCACCCCGCGCTCCGACTATGCCATTGTAGTTGTTTTAGTTATTCGGTATTTGTATTTCCATTTGGGAAGTGCTGCTGCTGCTGTTCCTGCTGCAATTGCAATGATTGGATTTTTATGAATACATTCATCAAATCGCTCTGCCACCGCCAACCACTGGCAACCATCGACAACCACTGGCAACTAGTACTACCGCCTGTTACATTGTTTCCCCATACATTCGCATTCATGATTATTTTTCACTTACATACGGTTCCCATAGCTCTCTCTGTGTGTGTGTGTGCGGCTTTCAGTTCATGTGCGAGTTTATCAGTGGTTTAGTTTGGTGGCAACTGCAGCACGAGTGCCGAACGAGCAAACTATAAAGTGCAGTTAGGACATTATTAAAGGGAGTGAGAGAGAGGGAGAGAGAGAGAGAGAGAGAGAGAGAGAGACAGAGAGAGAGAGCATGAGACGGTGTAGAGGTAGAATTGCATATATAATAAAGGCAAATGTCTACTAATACAATTTAATGACGGATTGTAAAGTGATAAAGTTTAACTGGAAACGAGAAGAGTTCACTTTAAGGGAACTTTCTCAATAGATTCTCAATAGATTAAACTCTTCTTTAAACCTATGCAAATATGTAGAATTGAAAGCTAAGGAATTTAACAATATATCCAATTAATAATCCATATTAATAATCTGTAGTTTATATATGTACATTTCTTTACACTTGTATACGATACAGATTACACAAGACTTTGATAATGGACAAAGTCAACAAGTGTGCTAAAAGAAAGTCTTAAAGATAATATTTACTTCATTATTTGCTGTTATTTACATTGCAAAAATCTATGTTCGCACAGAATAAATATTTCGCTCTGAACCGAGCAAATTTGCTTTACAGTTTATGCCTCATAAATAATCTGTGTAAGCAACGATATCTGCGTTTATCTTGTGATTACATCAAAATTTGTATAAGAGAAGAGAGCGTGAAAGAGAGAGAGAGAGTAGAGAGTAAAGAGAGCCTCTCATCGATTAGTCAAGTAAACACATTCGTCGAACTGTTCATTATCGATGAGCGCCGCTCGCCGCATTGGAGCGCCACGTTGACCGCTGAGAGAGACGCCGGCTGGACAGAGCGGAAAGAGTGGCAGCGATTCAGTTGCTAGCCGAACGTCTAGCGTGAATGACGTGTGGGAGGGGCTTGCGCATCGATACAGTGCATAATGAGTGCCATGCGCTGCGCTCTGAACAAAACAAAGAGAACCGCCCGCATCGTGATCATTGGCGCCGGCACGGCGGGCATTGCGGCGGCCACACGACTACTGGAGCAGGGCTTTAGGAACATAGTGCTGCTGGAGGCGGAGAATCGCATTGGCGGACGCGTCAACACAATTCCGTTTGCGGATAATGTGGTGGATCTGGGCGCCCAGTGGTGCCACGGCAAGGTGGGCAATGGCGTCTATGAGCGAGTCAAGGACCTCGATTTGCTGGAGGACACTGAGGACCATTATGAAACCTACAAGTGCGTGCGCTCCAACAAGCAGACACTGCCCGACGATATTGCGGATAGCTTAAAAAGTATTGCATTCAATTCGATTCCGGAACGACAAACGGAACTCGTCGACTTCAGAGGCTCGCTGGGCGACTATATCACACAGAAATACTGGAATGAGGTGGCCAAGCTGCCGCCAATCGATCGCGCCATAGCCGAGGAATTCCTCGAGAACTTTCACAAGTTCGAGAGCTCCGTGGAGGCTGCAGATCATTTGTACGAAGTCTCCGGCCGTGGGCACTTGGAGTACTGGCTCTGCGAGGGTGAGCTGCTGCTCAACTGGCGCGACAAGGGCTTCAAGAGCTTCTTAAGACTGCTGATGAATGCAAGGAACGATGAGGCCGATGATCTTGGAATGCTCAAAGGCCGAGTGCTGTTCAATAGGCGCATATCACAGATAAACTGGGAGGGGGATGGCGATCTAATCATACGCTGCTGGAACGGAGAAGTGATTACAGCGGATCATGTCATCTGCACGGTGTCCTTGGGAGTACTGAAGGAGCAGCATGCCAGCATGTTTATCCCCGCCTTGCCCGAGGCCAAGGTGCGAGCTATCAATGGACTCAAGCTGGGCACCGTCGACAAGTTCTTCTTGGAGTTTGCTGTGCCTCCTCTGCCCGCAGATTGGCCAGGATTCAGTTGCCTTTGGCTGGAGGAGGATCTGGAGGAGCTGCGTGCTAGCGAACGCTTCTGGCTGGAGAGCGTATTTGGATTCTATCCCGTGTCATATCAGCCCCGCATCTTACAGGGCTGGATCATCGGCGCACATGCCCGCCACATGGAGACGCTCACCGAGGAGCAAGTGCTTGAGGGCTTGCTGTGGCTCTTCCGCAAGTTTCTGCCCTTCGATTTGCCACAGCCACTGCGCTGCCTGCGCACCCAATGGCACGCGAATCCCAACTTCCGAGGCAGCTACACCTTTCGCACCACCTACGCGGACGAGCTGCGCACCGGCGCCTGGGATCTGGAGGCGCCGCTGCTCGACGTGGGTGGCCGACCTAGGCTGCAGTTCGCCGGTGAGGCCACACACAAGCATTACTACTCCACGGTCCATGGCGCCGCAGAGACGGGCTGGCGCGAGGCGGAACGCCTGAACACCTACTATCGCTCCCGAACACACCGGCTATGAGGGCCAGATAACGGACTGTGTGCACAAGCCAATAAAAGTGCTTAGCAAATTGTGTAACGCTTTAAACTAAACTAAACTATGTGATTTACAATTAGTCATGGAGGTAACTGTCAAGGGGGAGTCGATTAAAGGGGGATGGGTCATATGCCTCGAAGGCATTTGATGGGGAATATTTAGGCAACAAGCCAAGGCCTCTTACCTCCACCTGGAGGAGTTTCTGATCCTTTGACTAGCCCCGAAACTGTTCAATATGCGCAGAGTTATCCAATTTTAAAACAGAAAAAACAAAAAAAACAAAAAGTGTTTCGGTTTGAAATGAAAATGAGTAGCTGAATTGCCGACACATGGGCTGCATATTCATTGGAGCATGGAAAGAGGCCAGAGTTTCAAGCACTTTTCAGTGTTGGGCCCAAACATGTTGACCAACTCATTTGCAAGCGAACGAGCCGCACACAACAATGTAATTGCACTGTTATTGCGAGTGGGGGGGGCGTGGCCGAGCACTTAACACATGCAAAAAGTCTAAATAGAAACAGAAATGCAACGGCAAAAATCAGTTTCGACAGAAGCCGGACAAAACAATGCCACAAAACCCGCAAGCCCACAAACACCCACAGTCTACCCCTTCCCCTCCCCCTCCCCTGCCAAACACGACTCAAATCAACTGGACTTGGCTCGCCTGGAAAATGTTTTAACCATTGCCAGTGGTGCTCCTACCTAAATGTTGAAAATTCAAATTTATGCCACGCAGAGGCCAAAAGGCATTAGAGTCCCCGGTTTCATGTATTTGCCAGCACGCCTCGCAGTCAGCTCTGCTCTGCTCGCAGATTACCCACATACACAGCCGCTCCCACATTACATATGCACACAGAGAGAGAGAGAGAGAGAGAGGGGCAGAGGGAGAGATAGGTCCGCCCTCCTCCCCTTACAAGTTGGCTACATCTGTTGCGGCTTTGCCCAGCCATTGGGCAGCAGTTGTGCCCAGCCAGTCGGATACGTGCGACAATCAGAGAAAATGCCCTTGTTTGTCCGGGCTCTGGTCAGACGCTTGACAGGGCAGAGGGCTACTAGCCTTAGATAAAAGCTACGCTTGGATGTTTCAGAAATTGTCGTATATTTTCTCATGCTTGAATTTTGAACCAGGAATTAGCCAATTCAGTTCATTTGAACTGATCTAGTTAGCTGGTTGCATTCGCTCTCGAATTTCAAATTCGGGCCACAGCACCGCTCGCTCGGGCATAGTATTCGTTCAGGCGATCCGCCTCCCGCCAGCCCGTCTCCGTGGCGCCATGCACCGTCGAGTAGTGGGCCCTGCTGGAAGCCTCGCCAGCGAATTGCAGTCTTGGCTTGCCGCAAGCATTGGTCAGAGGCGCCTCCAGGTCCCAGGGGCCGGTCTGTAGCTCATCAGTGTAGGTGCTGCGGAAGCTGTAGCTGCCACGGAAATGGGGATTCGAGTGCCATTGGGTGCGCAGGAAGTTCTTTGGTTGCGGCAAATCGAAGGGCAGAAACTTGCGGAGCATCCACATCAAACCCTCGAGCACCTTGTCCTTCTGCAGGGTTTCCATGTAGCGCGCATGCTCCCCAATGATCCAGCCCTCCAGCATGCGCGGCTGATCCTCAAATCGATGGATGGCGAAGACACTCTCCAGCCAGAAATGTTCACTGTCACGCAGCTCCTTGAGGTCCTCCTCCATCCAGAGGAAATGAACGCCAGACCAGTTCTGAGGCAGCGGCTGCACTGCAAACTCCAGGAAGAGCTTGTCGACGGTGCCCAGCTTGAGTCCTCTGATAGCTCGCACCTTGGCCTCCGGCAGAGAGGGCAAAAAGAGGTTGCAATGCTGTTCCTTCAGCACACCCAAAGACATTGTGCAGATGATGTGATCCGCTGCCATCAGCTCGCCATTCCAGCAGCGCAGCACCAGGTCTTTATCCCCCTCCCAGTTGATCTGGGAGACGCGCTTGCTCAGCTGGACTTTACCATTGAGCACGCCCAGATCGCCGGGCACATCCTCCTTGGCTTGCAGAAGCAATCGAAGAAAGCTCGCGTAGCCCTTATTCCGCCAATGGATCAACTGATCCCCTTTGCACTCGACATACTCCAAGTGGCTACGTCCCGAAAGCTCGAAGAGAGTATCGGAGCCCTCGATGCCGCATTCGCCTCGCTTGAAGCTTTCGAGCATCTCACTGGCTATGACGCGATCCACATCGGGCAACTTGGCCACCTCCTGCCAGTACTTGTGGGTTAAATAGTCGCCCGTGGAGCCTTCGTAGACATTGGGTCCATTCGGTAGGGAGCTCTCCGCAGCTGTTTTCAGGGCATTGGCCGTGGGCTGCGGCACAAGCTCCTTGTTGGATCGCAGAAAGCGAAAGGTGTTTATGAAGTTGCCCGTCTTGGTAACCATATCCAGATCCTTGACCCGCTCGTAGACCACATTGCCCACCTCCCCGTGGCACCACTGGGCGCCCAGGTCGATGACGTTGTCCCCATATGGAATCGTATGGATGCGTCCGCCTATGCGATCCTCTGCCTCCAAGACCCGCACATGCCGAAAGCCGTGCTCCAACAGCCGAGTGGCAGCAGCAATGCCCGCCGGACCCGATCCAACGATGATAATGCGAGCCGTCTCCTTGGACTCCTTCTTTGGGCGAGCGCACTGAGCGACTGGACAACTGCTCATGGTGTGTGTGTGTGTGTGTAGGTCAGCACTTGTGACTGTTTAGACAGGGCGAGTGGTACTGGTATTTATATGTAGGATTGGGCTTCGATAAGAGCCTGTGTTTTGTTTGTGTTGTGGTTTTTTGGTTATCAGCAGCTGCACTTATTTATTTAAGTATTACCCTTATTTTGACATTGGGATTTGCACCTACCTCTACAAAATTTCTATGTGTAATATGTCAGGATTTTAGAGCTTGCTTGAAGTTAAACTGCGAAAGATTCGAATGCTCCGGTTACAGGGTATCTTAACAGTTGTGCTGGTGGCAATCGGCGAATGTTCTCTTCTCTTCTCACTTTGTTCCGAATGGACAATAAAGATCTTATAAAAATAAAAATGGTGCATATTTGTGTTGACTGACTAGGGAATACCCTGCATTTACCTATACACTTTCAAATGTGTTTTGAGAAAATTAGTTTACCTTTATTTTGGCATAGAGCTTTGCACAGGACTTTTGTTATTTCTTTGTTTAATATGTCTTAATTGTAAAGCACGCTTGGATCTAAAGAGCTTACAGCACCGTATATATAGGGTATCTTAATAGCTCTGCTAATGAAACTTGACGAATGTTCTCAGCAAATTTTGTTTAGAAATTGATTGCTGAGCGGGTAGTATAAAGATAAACAAAATAAATAGTTTGTATGATGACTGACTGGTCCATACCCTGGATTTATCTATCTACTCTCAACTATTTTTTATAAAAATTATTTATTATAAGCTTAAATTTGGATATGGACAACAGTCAATGTTGCTATGAATTTTTATAAAAAAAATATTTTCTATATACAAACATGTAAGAGATTATATTTAACTATTCACCCTAAGAGTAAGAGTTTTTAATAAAATATATCATAGAGAGACATACCATGAATAAAATCTGTTATGACATGAAGAAGCATGTGAAGAGATATCTAAGAATATGTATATTCCATGTGGAATATTTTCAGAGTATTCAGCTCGTGTAGATTCTCTTCGCGCATGCCCTATATAAACAGCGGCCGTCGTATACTCTTGCCTTCTTTTAAAAAACCCATTGTCTCGTTCTTTCTCTCTTTCTCTTTCTCTTTCCATAGATTTAATGTATTCTGGTTTGGCTTTTGCTGTTTTATTATTATTATATAATTTTGCAATGCAAATGAACTTTAGCTCGTAAGCGAAATACACGTTTGAACGATGATTAAGCAATTATTTCGTAATCGTGTCACGCCCACCTCACGATCTCTTTACGCGTTCCGAGCGCTGTAGTAGGCATTGAGGCGATCCGCCTCGCGCCAACCGGTTTCCGTGGCGCCGTGCACTGAGGAGTGGTGCGTCTTGCTGGTTGCCTCGCCAGCGAACTGAACTCTCGGCGTGCCGTCGGCGTTGAGCAGGGGCGTCTCCAGATCCCAGGGACCGGTGCGCAGCTCATCCGTGTAGGGGGTGCGCGAGCTGTAGCTGCCGCGGAAGTTGGGATTCGAGTACCACTGGGAGCGCGTGAGCTTCAACGGCTGCGGCATGTCGAAGGGCAGGAACTTGTTGAAGAGCCACTGCAGGCCGCTGAGCACTTGCTCTTCGGTGAGGGTTTCCATGTAGCGAGCATGCTCCCCTATGATCCAGCCCTGCAGGAGGCGTGGCTGGTGCAGAACGCGATGGAAGCCGAAGACGCCCTCCAGCCAGAAGCGCTCGGTGCCGCGCAGCTCCTGCAGATCCTCCTCCAGCCAGAGGAAGTTGACGCCGGACCAATCCTTGGGCAACACCAGCGAAGCATACTCCAGGAACAGCTTGTTCAAAGTGCCCTGCTTGAGGCCATTGATGGCTCGCACCTTGGTCGCCGGCAGCGGCGGCACAAAGAGCTTCTGGTGCTGCTCCTTGAGCACGCCCAGGGAGACGGTGCAGATGACATGGTCCGCAGTGAGCACCTCGCCATCCCAGCAGCGCAGCAGCAGCTCACCGGTGCCATCCCAGTTGATCTCGGTGAGGCGCTTGTACAGCTGCACACGCCCATTGAGCACGCCCAGATCCTCGGGCTGGTCCGGGTTGGCGTTCATCAGCACGCGCAGGAAGGTCTTGTAGCCCTTGTCGCGCCAGTTGAGCATGAACTCGCCCCCGTCCTTGGCAAACTCCAGGTGGGCGCGGCGCGAGACCTCGAACAAATGATCCGATGCCGTGAAGGAGCAGCGGAGCTTCTGCAGGTTGTCCAGCAGCTCCTTTGCCACGGTGCGATCCACCGCTGGCGACTTGGCCACAAGCTGCCAGTAGTTGCTCGTCAGATGGTCGCCCAGCGAGCCGTTGGCCTCATTCGGCTCCGTGGGCAGCGACATCTCCACGGCCGCGGTCAGCTGGAGGGCCGTCTCCGCGCTCAGGATCTCCTTGTTGGAGCGCACGAAGTACGTGGCCTTCAGGGCATCGCCGGTGGCGTGCAAGAGATTCAAGTTCTTCACCCGCTGATAGACGACATTGGTGCCCTCGCCGTGGCACCACTGGGCGCCCTTGTCCACCACGCTGTCGCCGAACGGCACGGTATTGATGCGCCCGCCCACACGACTCTCCGCCTCCAAGATCTTCACGTTCCGAAAGCCCAGCTCCAGCAGCCGCGTGGCTGCCGCAATGCCCGAAGCGCCGGCCCCAATGACAACAATGCGCGCCGTCTGCTTCGTCTTTCTCTCAGCTGCCGTGCGCGTGCTCATGATTTCGGTTCCTCTATACTATATAAAATGCTCTCCGACTAGATTAGATTCGGCGTCTGGCTTCACGTTTCGCTGGCAACTGAGCGAGCAGCGGCAATTTCAGCTGTTTTATATTCTATTCTGAGAGCACAGCGACTCAGCGAATTGTTGCTCCGACTGGACTTAACTGATCGGCAATTATAGTTAAAACTAATATTGGGCTGACTAGGCTGACCCCAAGCATTAGAGCTGGACTTGCTCCAGATCTGACGAAATAGACGTCAAAGTAATTAGTTTTAATACGTATATGTAGAGTTCGTAAAATATAATAGAGCATATGTACATATTCTATGTATGTATATACCACTTGGTGCAAGTCAAGTTCAGCTTGACCTTCAAATGTTGATGCTGTTGCTGTTGCTGTTGCTTTTATAATTGTTGTTAATCATATGCGGCACAGATTATGTTCTATTTGTATTCAAGGCAAATGCCAATGCCATTTTCAATAGGGGTTTCTCTATTTTATAACTAACTAATAGAATTATATATTGATATATCGCTGATCGTGAGTAATTATAGGGATATAAAATTATATTTAGTTTACACATTATATACGTATGTACATATGTATTCGTCTACAATGGGGTCATCAAAAACTTGTTTTGATCGATGGCTGTCTCTTTTGCTGTTCTTCCGTTCGTCCGACTCGACACAAAGCACTTGGCCGCTATCAAAGCGAGAGAGAATTGTAAATGGGAATTTATATATATATGCGAGACTATACTAGAGTCAGATAAGAATATCAGCCTACGCCTATTGTGGGTAACAACAAACACTGAATTGGAGGGGCTACAAGTTAACTTAAGAATTTGCAGTAGCGTACAGAGAATTTGATAAGTCGCCAGTTAAGCACCATTATCTCTGAATGATCCACTTATTTTACATTTTAATCAATTTGAATTAGGTTTTAGTTAAAATTTAATGTATTTTATTTCAAGTCAAATTGTCTTTTTTATTAATATTTATTTAAACTTGAATATTAAAAATAAATTTAAGTTTTCATTTATTTACAATTATAGTTTTTATTTTATTATTTACTATTTTACTCTAATTATTTTTATTTAAATTTTGTTTATTTCTTTTTATTTATTGAAAAATGAATTCAGTATTTTCTTTTAATATATACATTTTTTAAATATTTTTATAATTTTTAAATTCCTTGTAATTTAAAAAAAAATAATTTTTATTTTATGCTTGCTTTTTTTTACTTATTTTATTTTTTTTTTTTTGTTTTAAGCATAATTTTGACTTTGAGCAATTTTTTAAATTTATTGTAAAGTTAATTATCATATTGAATGTTGTAAAATTTTTGCCTATATTCATTTCAATCTAAATTATTTAATCATTTCACTAACGCTAATCGCTCTCAGCTAATTTTATTTGCTTTATCTATGTATATCAGTCGCATTTATCTCGCTTTAAATGTGCTCGCACTGAGAGTTAAAGGCTTATCGATTGCTCTGGCACACTTATCGCGATTACTGCATATTTCAGTTATTATTGCTAACTGTTGTCTTTGCCATTATTATTATTATTATTATTATTATTGCTATTATTGCTGTGGTTTCTTGCCCCACTGGAGCCAGCCCGTTTCTTGGCTCCTAGATGGGCGTTTCTGCTGGGGGATTTGCGGTTGTCTATCTTATCTGGGCCCTGGCCTTTTATTCGTGTGCATTTATGCAATATTATATTGCAAATGCAATTTAATTTAAGTGTATCCCGGGGCACATAACCACAAAGCCAAATTATATAAGCGACTAGAATACTTCGAGTATTTCTTATCAATTAGTGACGTATGCGAAACCCATAGAAGCACTATTTAATTGCTGGCAAACCTATTATTATTTTTGCTTATCAATTTCACAATTCAATCCCAAGTTTAAGCATATATGCACCCATACCCATACCCATTAAATCTGAATCTTTTCTCTCTTCCCACAGTATTGCAGCGCAGACAAAAATCGAAAAGTGAACGCAACTGCGACCAGATTCGGGGGCAAGCAGAGCAAACGGCAGCAGAAACAGCATTTGCATTCTGCCAAAATGCTACAAAATGAGCTGAAATACAAATTTGATGAACTGCAAAATGTGTCAGGATACGAAGAGGAGGAGCAACAGGAGCAGCAGGAGCAGCGGGAGCAGCAGCAGCAGCAGGGGGCGAATGCTGGCAATGTGAAGAGCAATGAGGAGACTTCATCATCGGAACAGCAGCCTGATATAATACCCTATCCGCTAAGCGTGGGCGAGATCAGCTGGAAGAAGGAAAAGCGGCAAAGAAAACAAAAAGAAGACGAAGAAGAAGAGCAACAATGGCAACGCACATAGCGTCAAGTGAGACTTGAAAAATTCTCGAAGAAAACATATTGATCAGCTAAGCAGTTGAGTAGAACTTAAGATTTGTACAGCATAGCGATATATTGATATATATATATACATAAATGTATTTTGGATTTTGAACAAAATTGAGATTAAGCTTGTAAAAAAAAACAAAACAAACCAATATGGTTTAGGATTTGAGCTAACAGAGGAGGCAGAAGAGGCATTAAGTGTAAGTAAGTGTGGATAAGGAGCGAGTTGAGAGCAGGCGATACGAAATACCTAAACAACAGACAAGGCAAAAACAATATTTTGTAGTATTTCAGCTATTGAAATATGCAAATCTGAATAGAAATCTTTCAAATATATAGATATATACACACATATATATATATATATGGCATTAATATGTATTTTTGCGAGCACACATATACAGAAAGCTGCTTACAAAACAACAACAAAGGAAAATTCGATTGATAAACAAAGCAAGAAGCAAAAGTTGCCCGAAATGGATAAATGTAATTTTCTTATATAGGTGTACAATAAATGGCTTAACTTAACATTAAACGAAGAGTTGATTGTGTGTATGTTTAAACTATATAATTGTGCTATATACTCGCTTATATACATACATATATGTATTCCGATGCTTGTGTAAGTGTATTGAGGACTCTGCTTGAGCACAACAGTTAGACAACAGAAAACCAAATAGTTGACAAAAAGCTCTCTCCACAAGAAAAAAATAAATAAATGAAAAAAGAAAATGCAAAAATATGAACTAAATTAAAAACATATCCCCAGAAGTTAAATATATACATATATCTATTATTTATGAGAGATCGCAGCTTGTGCATACTCATATCCATACCCATATCAATTGTATCTTTTAGACGAGGCAAGAACAAGCAGATAATACTATATGAAATATAATAAATGAAAATTCAAATATATTCTGCTGCATTTGTTGTTCTCCTGTCCTCCTGTCCTGTTTGCTTTCCAGCTTCTCGCTTCTCTTTCTAGTCTGCGTAGCCTTCCGCCTTCTCGGTCACACAGGCAATCCACTCGTCCCACTTCTTCTGCCACTTCTCCAGGGCCTTGGTCTGCTCCTCTGCGGTGAGGGCACTGTACTTGAGGGAGCTCATGGCCAGATGCTTCAGCAGCCGCAGATCCGCTGTGTAGGGCGCGATGCCCAGGAAAGCAAAGTAAAAGTCGTGCGTGAGGGGCGAGGCGTGCCAGAACGAGGGATCATCGGAGGCGATCACAATCGGCACATTGTTGGCAATGAGCATCGCAGCCGGATGATTGCGATAGTCGTGACCGAGCTGCAGCACCTGATTCGAGACGGGACACACTTCGATGGGTATGTCCAGTTTCTTGGCCAGCTCCATGGCCACAGGATGCTTGACCACAGCGTAGCCATGCCCGATGCGCTTCGTGCCCAGCAAAATGGCATCGATCAGATTCTCGTCGATCGAGGTGCCGAACCAGTTCGTCTCGCCCGAGTGGAAATAGAAATTGATGTGCTCGGGCATCTTCAGCAGCGGCTTCACGAAGTCTACCAGCGGACGGCCCATCTCCTCGTGGCCCACCAAATCGAAGCCAATCAAAAAGTTCGGATATTTTTTCTATTCGAGGAATCTGAGCATGAGAAGGACAAATTTGATTTCATTTCACTTACATTCAGCGCAACGCAGTCCTCTACATATTTCTCCACAACTTTCGTCTGGACGCCACGCAGCGGCGCATAGATCAGCTTCGCGCCAATGAAGTCGGGATGATGCTTTAGGAAGCGCTCCGTTTCCGTCTTGTATATCTCTACGGTGTTCTCCATGGACAGCTTGGAGCCATCCAGGCTATACAGATTGGGTATGAGGGACCTCAGCTCCAGGTACTGCACGCCATCGGCATGCATCTCCCTGAGCGCATTGTAGTAGTAGTCCGCCCAGACGGGCGCGTGGAGCAGCAGCCCGTCGAGCAGCGTGAAGATGCTCATGAACTTGCGCCACGCCTCATTCGTGGATACGAAGTTGGTGAAGGGGTACATGGTGAAGCGCTTGCGGAGATAGTTTCGCACCTTCAGCTCGCCGTGCTGCTCACGATATTCGCTCATGGGCTGCCACCTGCAGTCGTCGGCGGCGGGCTTCAGGACGGGCTCCGACTGGGAGAAACGGAAGGCGATGGCCTGGCAGCCCTGGTTGGCGGTGCAGATCCACAGATTCTCACGGTACGTGAGATCGATCAGGAAATCCGTGCTGCACAGAGCCGTATCGTGGGCGTGCAGCAGGCCGCCCTTGGGCATGTCCTGCAGCATCCGGAAGAGCGGAGATCGCTTCACCTTCTGGAGCACATCGTAGATGTGGTGGCCCGGCGTGAATTGGCTGGGATTCTGGAAGCCCGTCTCCAGCTCCTTGCACTTGATGCGCTTCAGCACTCGATTGGCGGCCAGCTCCTGCGCCGTCAGCTCCAAGCTGCTGCCCAGGCACGAGGATCGCTCCATTTGTATCATCATTTTGCGCAGCGTGCCGTAGGCGTCGGGCGTAATGTCTCTCAGTCTGCGGCACAGTGACGCAGGTAAATTAATTTTAGACGCCGCCTGCCCGGACATGCAGCGCACCAGCTGCACTTGCACTTGCACTTTTCCGGACATGTTTTTCCTAAATAATTTTGAAGTCGATTTTCCGAAAGGGAGTCTAATCATAAAATATACTAAAATATAAGCTCTACATCATTTCTGGAGCTCAACTGAAGTCTTATACAATGTACAAAATTTCTAAGGTTCATTTGTCAATGTGCTGTACGCATTTCGCACACACTGAAAGAGACAGAGAAAGTGGGAGAGAGAGGGAGTGATGGCACATCCGGCAACTACTATACGCGAACTTTATTAGTTATTTATGCGAATGGCTCTGGTTTTTTATGCCCGCGCGCCCTCAACACCACATTAAATGTGGCTGTGCCCGGCATCAAATTGATGAGCCTGCCACAGGCCGGGGCCATCACACGCACACACACACAGATATATATGCGGCCATCAATTTTATGGGCTCATACATATTCGGCCAGGCGTAAGCCTAACCCGCTGCAGTTTGCGCTGTACCCCATAAAACTCTGCTCATTACGCGAGCTCAAATCAAAATCAAAATCGAAGAGAGTGAGAGAGAGCTGGAGAGAGAGAGAGAGAGAGAGGGAGAGGGAGAGGGAGTGTGGGTAGTGAGATCCGCTGTTAGCACCACTAAGCAGAAGCACGTAAAATTGATACATTTGGAGCAGTGCTCAAAGCAATCATTGCTTTGGCCCCTGGCCCAAAGCATTCCACATTCATTAAACATCGACCGCTTTTCTGTGCACTCAGCAGCAACGGCAACAGCTCTCAATGGCCAAGAGATTTATGCCCAGGTCGTATGTTAGCCTGCCAAATGCATTGCGCACGGCATATCATTTAGCGATGCAATTCAGATAGCGTGAAAGCCCCAACTACTTTAGTGCAATGCTATTAATCGCTTAAATATGTTGCTTCTGAGTACGGACGTACGTCGTTGGCCTGGGCTCATTGTAAATTTAACATGCACTTTGGCACGATGTGGCCTCGCACAAATGAAAGGGATATGAAATTATATACGATACATTTGGATGTGAGCTAGCCTTATGGTATGGATATCTTTTAGATCGAACTATAAGTGGACTATATGAATATGTAGGAACTTAGCTTTACCATGTACCTCAAAGAATCGGCAGATAAGTTCAATTCAAGCACATGATAAATCTATCCTCCAGATAGTTGCTTCCAGCTGCTTAAAGCATTGCCTTTGCTAATGCAGATCAGATCTTAGCTATTGCAGTCAATTTCTGCATTTCGTGCGAGCTCACGCTCTCATCTCTAATGGCAGAGCGGTGCACGGTTGACTGCTTTGCTCATTACTGTTATCCTGAGGTTGCTTTTAGCTGGCAAGCCAGAGAACATGCATAGCAGTTGAGGCCTTTCGACTCGACAAGTCGAGCTCTTTATTCAAAATGTTTTAGTACAAAAGCTTATAAACAGAGCAAATTAAAGTGCTGAATCTCTTAGGGTACTTAGTGCGAATAACCTTGGAAGTCGAGTGCTCCGCGGAGCTTAACACTATGCCTAAACACTAATCAATATTAATTAGCTTAACATAAAACAGCGTGAATGTGAACATGAATCAAGATGAATGCAGTGTGTGAATCGGAGAGCGACATAGGAGCGTCCATACACTGTGCTACAGAGCTGAGCAGGAGCGGGACATCGCTCATGCTCCTTCTGCAGGGGAGGTCGGCCGGAATTCGTAGATTGATTGTAGCCCGACTAGCGCCAGAGGCTGTTGTTCACGAGGGAGAACGTAACCAGAAGCGCTGCCACCACCCGTGCTAGTCAATCGAGCTGCTGGGCGGGCGCATTGTTCGGCACGTCGTTGACATAGTCGATGAACTGATCCCACTTCGTCTGCCACTTGTTGAGCGCATCGAACTTCTGGTCGACGGAGAGCGAACTGTATTGAATGGAGTTGAGCGCCAGCTTCTTGAGCAGGCGCAGGTCTGCGTGCTGCGAGGCGATGCCTAGGAAGGCGATGTAATAGTCGTGCGAGAGGGGCGTGGCCTTCCAGAAACTGGGATCATCGGATGAGATGATGACCGGATAGCCGTCGGCGAAGAACTGCGAGCAGGGATGATTACGGAAATCGCTGACCAGCTTGAGCACTTGATTCGACAGTGGGTTCACCTCGATGGCCACATTCAGTTTCTTAACCATGTCGAGGACCACCGGATGCTTGACGAGACCGAAGCCGTGGCCAATGCGCTTCGTGCCCAGCAGCAGAGCATCAATCAGATTCTCGTCGACCGTCGAGCCATACCAATTCGTCTCGCCCGCATGGAAGTAAAAGTCAATGTCCTCGGGCACCTCCAGCAGCTGATCCACAAACTCTCGCAGCGGTCGTCCCATATCCTCCTGACCCACCAGATCGAAGCCAGCCAGGAACTCTGGATACTTTGCCTGCCAATCGAATATGAAGTTAAGCATGGCCAAGCTGAGTGGAACTCCGGAGATCACCTACCTTAACCTGTTTCAGGGTCTCGATGTAGCGTGCCACGCCCGCGGCATCTGTATTGCGCAGAGGCGCATAGATCATGCGGGAGCCAATGAAGTCCTTGTTATCTGGATGGTTCATAAACTTCTCCAGGGTCTCCACATAGATGCGCACAGTGTCGAGCGGGGTGAACTCGGTGCCCTCCATGTCGTAGAGCTGTTCAACGGAAACCAAAGACTTACAATCTGTCCCCAAGCTCAATTTGTTGCAACTTACCGTGGGCAAAGTCGTGCGGAATTCCAGGTATTGTACGCCATCGGCGTAGAACTCCTGCAGCGCCTTGTAGTAGTAGTCGCTCCAGACTGGGGCGTACATGAGCAGGCCGTCGAGCAGCTGGAAGATTTGCATGAATCTCGACCAAGCTGCATTGATATCCTGAAAGTCCGTCGTCGGGTACAGCGTGAGGCGCTCTGCCAAATATTCGTACACCTTGTCGGCTCCATACTGTTTGCGCACCTCCGACAGCAGACTCCAATCGCAGTTGGGATCAGTCAGAGCGTCGGGCTTCGCTTTGGCGAACCGCAGAGCGGCGGCACTCAGATCACCAGCCTGCTGGCAAATCCACAGATGATCATAGTAGGTCAGCTCAATGATGGCCTTGGTGCTGCAGAGAGCCGTGTCGTGGGCGTGCAGCACTGCGCCCTTGGGCATGCGCTGCAGGATCTGGAAGAGGTCCGTCTTATTGATGGCCGCGAGCACGTTGAAGATATGCTGCGACGGCTTGAAGAGATACGGCGTTATGAGGCCCTCTTTGAACTCCGTTAGCTTGGCCTTCATGATCGTTCCGTTGGCTTGCAGCTCGCGCGAGCTCAGCTCCAGATCGTTGCCCAGCGATCTGGACTCCTCGTAGTTGAATAAGGCATTGCGCACCGTCTTGTACGTCTCGGGACTGGGCCGGCTGTTGCCCAGCAAGGACTCCACGTGGGATGTGCCGCTGGTGCCAATTGTCACGAATTTCGTAATGGTCAGATCTTTGGGCCGCGTGCGTGACTCAGCCGGGCCCAGAGACAGGCAAAGGCACAGCAGACCGATTAGATTAGCTCGCAGCATTGTCACAGATTTTTCCAGAGAATCTGATGTGTGTGTGCGCGCGCGCCAGAGCCCGTAAAACAACTGAGACCCTCGCACCAGTTGCTGTTCAATTTAGTTTTTTTTTTTTTGTGTTATTTTTCGCTAAGTCGAGTGCCGTGTGCTCGTTATCTGCAAAGAGTGAAACCACAATTATTATCTTTGATTTAACACGTGCTTCGGCATGCGGCGATAGCTGAAAGCAAAAAGATCTGATTGAATTGGCTCCCTGCACTACGGCTTGGATCCCACAGCTGGCAACGGAACCCTAATCGGCCCCCAATCAGACAGGCATCTTGATTTATGAAAGCCAGAGATTAGATTGCCAACTAGCGGCCAACGCTCGGCTGACGTCCGATCGAGCCGTAGTTCACGCCAAGTCAAGTGCGCAGAACTTTATGGACCTTCGATGACTCTCCACAGCCAAGCCGAAGGAAATGCGCTATAAAGCACTCGAGAGAGCGCTCAATTGCCAATTAAAGTGCGTTAGACAGATGGTTAGTAGTGTTAGTATTATATAGTATTAATTTGTCAGTTACAGTAATGATTTTCAAGTAAAACGAAAGGAAAGCTGCATTAGACTAGGCGCACGATGCCCGCGATCCACTGATCCCAATTATGTTCCCAAATCGACAGAGCCTTACGCTTCTCGGCCTCGCTCAGGGCGCTGTACATAAACGAATTCATGGCCAGCTGCTTCAGTAGACGCAGATTGGCCTGACCATTGGCAATGCCCACGAAGGCCACATAGAAATCATCGGTCAGAGGCGCCGCATTCCAGAAATACGGATAATCCGAACCCACCACAATGGGATAGCCGGCGGCAATCAGATACGCCGCCGGATGCTGACTGAAATCGCTCACATACTGCATATAGTAATTGGACAGTGGACACACCTCGGCGGCCACCTTCAGCAATCGCATGACCTTCAATATTTCCGAATGCAATGGCAGATTGAACGGATTGCCCATTCGCTTGCTGCCCAGCAGCAAAGCATCCACTATATTGGCATCGGGCGTACTGTCTTTGGTGGAGTTCACGCAACGCGACTCTCCCGCATGGAAATAAAAGTCGATTTCTTTGCTGATGTGCAGCAGCTGTAGGGAATCTCCTAGCGGCGGCATAGCGCACTCGTCTCCCAAATTGATCAGATCGAAACCAATGAAATAGCTGGGAAAATTCGCCTAAGGGCAGGTAGAGATTGACAGAGTTAGGCATTTATGATCGAGACATGGAAAGCGAAGCCCTACAAAAGACAGCGAAACCTATATGCAAAGAAGACTCTAAGAAGTATATGATATATGACTATGATATATCTATCATATCTAGATCAGAGTCATCTAGTCCCTAATCTCTTTCCCTAGTCTCCTTTGCGCTAGAGATAGTAAGCCCCAAACTCTACCTTCAAAAATCGTGCATTGGCAATATATGTGTCCAGATTGCTGTCATTGTGGTCCCGCAAAGGTGCATAGATCAACTTCATGCCAATGAAGTCTTCGTGTTCGGAACGGAAGATATTCGTGGTGGTGATAATAGTATTGACCGTATCCGAAATGGTATAGTTCGAACCAAGTAGATCGTACATCTAAGGAGTCAGGTGGCATATTTATAGCAATCAATTAGGGCTTCACAATTATTTGTTACTCACAATGGGCAGCGAGGAGCGTAGCTCGACATAGCTGACACCATCGGCGTAGAAATCCTCGAGCATCGATATAAGATAGGTGGGCCACATGGGGCGATATGAGATCAGGCCGAGAATGAGACGATGCGCCCGTCTCATGTGATTGGCCAAGTCAGTGGCGCTAGTGAAGCCATTCGGATCGATAGACAGGCTGTCGCGCAACTTCTTCAGGGCGATGTTCTCGTCCTGCTGCCTGAAGTTGCTCATCATCATCCAATTGCATTTGTAATCGCCTCGGGGTTGAATATGGGGAAAGCTCTTAGAGAAGCGGAAGTCCTCAAACGTACCATCGAGGGCCACACAGGCCCACAAGTCCGAGTACTTCGTGAGCTCGATGAGGCGGTCCGTCTTGAACATGCCAGCATCGTGAACATGCAGTAGTCCCCCCTTGGGCATCGCGCGTAGCACACTGTAGAGATCGGTCTCGTTGATTTTGTACTTGGCTAGGAAGTGCGGACGTGGCTGATAATCACTCCAGATATTATGCAGTTCTTCGTCCACCTGCTTGATCGCCAGCAGGCGTCCGTTGGCCATTTCCTCGAAATCGCTCAATTTCAATTTGCCGCCCACGCGCCGCAGTCGCTCGCGCGCCAGAAGGTCGTGTCTCAGCTTCTCGAAACGAGCCTCCTGGGTGCACGAGTAATAGTCGACGCTCAGATAGACCGTCCACACGAGGGCCAGAATCATCGTGCTAATCAATATGACCAAGCTGACGTGCCAGCAGAGTGTGGCATATTTGGTGGGCTGATTGCGATCTCCGTCGGAGTCCGGATTCCGATTTGCGTCGTCATTCGTGCCCATCGCTCGATTCGACGGATTGATGACACGAGTCGTGGAATATCGCGGCGGATATTTGGGCAAGCGGAGTAGCCACTTATTCCCTCTAGTTGCCATTACCGAATTTTCAGCTACCTCGATTTTTGAGAAATTTCGAATTTTGTTTGATTTACTCCTAACGACGAATATGCTAAAAACAAATCATGACTGGCTGTCCCAGCTACAGAGAGCCTATCCAATCGGTTGCTGCTGATTGAAAAAGCAAAGTTCAATGCGAGCGCCTGATCAGCTCATACGACTCCGGCCATGGTTGCCACATGCCCGCATTTACTTATCAAGTGGCAACCTCCGCCACTTGCGGCTCTTTTAAAAATAGCCCAAACTCCCAGCGATAAAAGACAATCGAACTGCGCTGGCCTTCGCCTCGACTGAGAACAGAAAGGAAAGAACTGGGAGCGGACTTTGGGCGGGCGTGTGCCTGCCAGGGGTTGCGTTTATTTTCGTAAACACTCATCAGCACCCACCACCAGCAAAAGCAGCGGCGGTAGCAACAGCACCACCACCAGCGGCACAGTGGTGTGTGCGTCATTCAAAATGCTGGTTATCTGAATATAACAATGTGATACAATCTTAGTAATGTAGTCATAATTCAAGTAAATTTATATTGATTGCAGCTAGAGTAGAGAGAAGATGGATTTTCATGGAGCTCTTTAAATACTCCCATTTATGATTAGCGTTGCATATATACTACTAAATTTGTATAATACTAAATTTAAGTTATTTTTAAATCTAATTTAAAAATAAATAAATAAATGAATAAATAAAATAAAATTATAAATAAATTACTAATACAATAAAAATTAAAGAAATATTTATAATAAATAAAATATTTAATAAATAAAAAGAAATAAAATAATAAATAAATTAATTAAAAATAATAATAAAAAATATTTAATAAAATAATAATAATTAAATAATAATATCTATGTATATAAACACATATTTCTATATAAATATTCTCAATACACTTTCATTATCCACACAATAAGAGTGAGCCCACTGTGCACAAGGCAACAAATGCTGCATGTGTGCTATTGTCGGGTTGGTATCGATGTGGCACAGCTGGAGTCTCAGCTGACGGGAACAGTGATTGGAGGCAGGGGGTGCAGAGTCGCAGCAGAGCCTCAGCAGAGTCGCAGCAGAGCCGCAGCTGAGTCGCAGCAATGCTAATTCAGTTCGAAGGGCGTTTTTGTCGAGGCAACAGCGAAATCGAAACGAAATGCAGCCAAGGCAGCATAACGGTAATCAAAGCAAACATCCAATGGCAGCCTGAGCCCAAATTAATCAATTAGCTTCCCTTCTATTATCTGTCCATCCATCTCTCCGTCTATCTCGTAGCGCCCGTTACGCTGACAACCTTGAATGATGATTGCCTGCTGCTGATCTGCGCCCAGCTCTCAATTAGGGACCAGCTCGCGCTGCTGCGGCTGGGCGGACGGCTGCGTCCGCTGGTGCTGCAAATTTGGCAGCGTAAATATGCCAGCGAATTCGATTGGCAGCAGGAGCCGCAGCACTTGGAGAGCCTGTGCGCCAGCGAGCAGAGCCAGCTGCTCGGCCACATGGCGCGGCTGACGCGGGCGCTGCTTAATCTCAGTGTATGGCAGGCTGAGCTGCCGGAGTGGCTGCAATCGAGGCGGAAGCGGAAACGTAAACGGAAGCGCCAGCTGGAGCAGAAGCCGCTATGCATGCCCAACATGCAAAGGCTTAGCTTTGGGGCATGCCACTCGGTGGCGCTGCTGCGGCAGCTGCCTCGGCTCTGCCCCAACCTGACGCAGCTGCAGCTGGCCGGCTGTGTGGGCGTGGACGCCGCGCAGCTCTGCCGCGCCCTGACCCAGCTGCCGCAGTTGAGTCGCTTTGAGCTGCTGCCAGGCAGCGGTATCTGCGGCATCTGCGGCGCCACGGCCACACCAGCCTTGGCCGACATTGAATATTGCCGAACGCTGCAAACGCTGAAAGTTCCGGCGTGCGCGCTGCGTGCGGCCAGCAAGGAAATTGCCTGGCTGCCGCAGCTGCGCCAGCTGACAGGCTTCCTCTGCTGCAGCGGCGACATTGACAATGCCGACAAAGAGAAAGCGAATGCTGGCGGATTGGCCACCGCAACCGTATCCGCCTGGCTGGCGGCTCTCGGCCAGGGTGGTGTTGCCCGTCAAATTGTGGCATTGCGTTTGCAATGTCAACTGGATGGTAGCCTGCCGCGTCTGCTGGCTGGCCACTTGAGCGTGGTGCAGCTGCAGCGGTTCGCTTGGCACTCACAGCTGATGGTGCGCTATGATGCCACGGATGGCAGCATCAAGTGGCTGCCGCAGGCGCTGCATGTGCCGCGTGCTCTGCTCCGCTTCATTGTCAGCCAGTCGGCGAGTTTGCGTGAATTGGATGTTACGCGTAATGTGCATGCCACGCCCACATTCCTAGCACAGCTCGCCGAGCAAATGGGCGGCACAGTCGCCGTGCGGCACGACGGCTGCCCCAGGGGCAGGATGTGCGAGCAGGAAACGGATATGGACAACAACAGAAACGATTTGGCTTTTGTGGAGTTTGCCATTGAAGCAGTTGCCTAATGAAAGGCGAACCGCCGAGGGTATGCCAAGAGGTATATGCGACTATCAGTTAGACTTAAGTGCATCGAATGTAAGACGGAAGAAGCAAAGTCATTAATATATAATAAAATAAATACTAAGACATATATGAAGACAAGAACTTGTTTCATTCATACGTTTTTCTTAATACGTTATAGATTACAGGGTATATGCAGGCTAATATCATGAGTTTTCTTGCATGAACAAGCTCAACTTGGCGCTGAAACTAAATGGAGAGATAGAATTGATTTGTTATTTGCATAGGAAGTGGAAAGTTTGCAAATAGCAGTGATGAAATACCCTGTAATCAGCTTTTAAGGTATACATGTGGCAAAAATATAAAATAATATAACTCATTTGCAATTATAAAAGAATATATGAATTCAATAAACAGAAGTTAAAGTGTTGGAAGCGAAGCAACTCTTTGCACTTCAGTTTACATAGAAATTACAGGGTATATGTCGGCTAATAGCTTGAATTTTCTGACATTGCTTTGAAAACTAGACGATACTATTGCTTTATTTATAGAAAGTATACATGACATACTAATAATTACCCTATTAGACTAATAGATACCCTATAAAAAATGAGAAAACAATTATAGTAAATCGGTTTTCATTCTGTTAAAATAAAACTTAATTTATGCCCTGCCTCGATCCCCCAAGCTAGTCAGCCTTGACTTTTGGAAGATTTTTGAAATTGAATTTTATAGAAATTTCTTTTATTTCAGATATGATGGTTATTTAACTTTGATCGGGTCAAGGCTAACAAAATTTCAGGCCCAAGTTTTGCTAACAATAATCCGTTCATCTGGGGCGATTGCTTTCAGGTAAGTAGTTAACTATGGTGACCAGCTGGAATTGCAATCAACTGTAAGTGAAGAAAATATCTCGAATGCATAATTTAAGGGATACTCTGGGGCCCTCTAATGAGATAACGGTCTATGTTGATTTTAGTCAACTCCTGCATTATTGGCCAGAAGACAAAGACCAGAAGCTTAACACAATCCTATCGCGGCAAACTCTTACGGAGAGTGGCTCTGATTCTTGGGACGGCGGAGGCTATGCCGAATACAAGCGCATAAATAACTATCCAGAAAATATGCATGGGAAAAATCCTCCAGAGAAAGGTGAGGCGCAGAAGCGTCCCTCCAGCCCGACGAATGCCGCCCAGGACACACCCTCAATATCGATTCAGGTACCCCAAATAGATTCTACTGCCTTAACCCAAGCATATCACATTTATCTCCTTCTCTGTTAGCCCTTGCAACTTGCTCGGGATTTTTGGACGCAGGTGAACAATGTACCTTCCATGGTACGTGGCCAAATGGATCGACGCAGTCGCTCTGTAAGCGCTCCGGCATCGCAAACCGAGTCTCGTCGTGAAGATCAGCAGGACGAGAAAGTCGTGAGTATCCAAATAACTTGGCTTTGGCAAAAAATCAAATTTAATTTTAATTTCAACTCTTAGAGCACAGGAAGCTTGCAGCCAACTGAAATCTACGTAAGCTACTACACTTCTTCTTTATCCTTCTCTTCTATCCCAAGACCATTAACACAATCCAAGCCTTTGCAGAAACGAAAATCGAATCAGTCGGGCGGAGGAGCATCATGCTCAACTGTAAGTTTTAAATAAATAGGTTTGCAGGAATAGTTAATTGACAACTTGATACGACGGCTGGACACACGAATAATCTCCTGAGCTCTGGGCTAGATCAGCTCAGCCTGATACTACCCACTCCTGCCTTTTTTTTTCCACATAATTATTGATTTTGCTTTTTCAGTGTCCCAATAGGCCAGCCAGCAGCGGCTATATACTCTCGAACAATGGGGTATGCTACGATCCGATGCGGCCACAGACATCAGGTTCGCCGGAAGAAAGAGGCTTTGATCTGAGCTATGAGAAATGGCTACGGATGCAAAAGCAGCAGCAGATGCAGCTGCAGCAACAACTGCAGCAGGGCCCCTCCTCCAATGGCAACTGGCAATGCAAGGATCAGACCTATGAGAATTTTGTGAGTAGAGCTCCGACCACACAAGGAGCCTCGAGTGCAAACGAAAGCCCTCATACGAACTGTTATTCTCTTTGGGGTTTTGTTTCTAGGAGCCTCCACTTAATAGCACAATGAATGCCGGCAGGCAGCCCTGCACACGCTCGTCCTGTGGACATCTGCGCGCACAGCAGCAGCAGCAGCAGAAGCAACCACAGCAGCAGCAGCCACAGCAGGCAAAGCCTTCATGCTGCCAGAACGTTGATCCGAATCAGAGTCAAGCATATTCCGCCCGGCCAACGGCACAAAGGGTAAGTCCTAGTTGACCGAGGCCTCGATGGCAGCTGCTAAAGGCAACTCAATTTCAGCAGTCAGCGGCAGCTACATGCCAAGTGGTTTACCCCCAGCGGCAGCAGGCAGCTGGGAACACGTCCTGTACGCCGATGCAGGTGAGCGCAGGTATCCAAACTAAATCACAAATTCTCCCATCTATCATCTATTCACGACCAAAAGCAGCGGGACTGCAACGATTCTTATGACACGACGACCTATATGCAGTTGCCCCAGGCGCAGCAGAGGGCGCCTTGTATGAGGGGTCCCGTTATGCAGGCGAATGCGAATGTAAGTAGTCGAATGTTTGCCAAATTATTAGTTTATTAATTCCTCTACACTAAGCGCAGGTGACTTTCTTTGATACGAATCCGTTGTCCTCAACTACCAATCGCACTCAGCAATCGTGTGCAGCATGCTCCAATGATAGCTGGCAGGGCACGACTCAGAAATCGTTTATGCCGCTTATGAATTCAACTCAAATAGGCCAGCCTTACGGTCAAAAGGCTCCAGGACCCGGTCCCGGTCCCGGTCCCAGTCTTGGTCCTGGTCTCGGTCCCACATCCGACCAAAAACAATTGCGAGTAACGCCCTTTGTCGACGATTCGACTCGTGAGTTAGAGATGGAGATCTGGACTCATATAAAATGACTTGAGCTCATCCTTTGCTTTTCTTTCGGCAGCTGAGCAACGGTATATTCAACGCACAAATACGCTATTCTTCAACGCCTTGGTCATGGATCAAACTTGTCCGGGTATTATACAGAATTCGCTAAATGATCGGGAGGACTTCAATGATTATGCTTTCGATATTGCATTTGCGGGCAATATACCGGATAAGCCATATCCTATAGATCCCATCACCATGATTGAGGCCATTAAAATGAGAATCGACTATGAACGCGAGGAGATCCGGAAGAAATGTCCGTATTATGACCCGGATGATGATTCGAAAAAGGATAAGGCCAAATATTACACTGGGCAAAGGAGAAAGGGATCAAGCTCAAAAAATGTACCGTATAATACCATTAATCGTCACTTTTGCTCGAAGAACAGATCTGAAGTCAATGATGGAGTGCTGGCTTTTCTAAAAGCCGAAGATGGCTACTTGTCAGAGCCCGACAGAAATGTATGTATATGTATATAGCCATTCGCACGATGTGTATATCATTTTGTATGTGGGTATATTCCCTTAGGCCCTGACCCGCTTTTCGGCCAACATCAATGCGCATGAGTCGAGCTTCTTTGGTCTGCCCATCAAGATGAAGATTTACAATGCAACAACTTGGCCAATCAGCTAATCAATGGCCCGCTCAACGGAAAAATACCAGAAGACTTTTTTAAGTTTTACAGCATTTACGATTATTGAGCCTAAATGTGGTGTATATTTCACTATTTTCAATTATAGGAAATGCTTGAATCATAGAAAATCATTTGAATCAACCATTTGCTTATCGGACAAAAAAACAATAAAATTCTTTGTGATGCAATAAATCTTGGTCATCTACGGACGCATGAATAAATAAGTCTATATAATTATATGTATGTACACATGTATATACATACTTATCTAATTCGCAGACTAATAAACAATATTTTCTTTTTTCCAAAATATATCATACATATATACACCCATCATATGTTACCTCTTTAGATTCGAATCAAAATCCTTCAGTTTAATGCGACCCTTTCTTCTCGGCCATCCAATAATTATATTTCCATTAATTTTTATCGGCTCTCTACAAGTCTAAAAATAAATTTTGCTGTAATAAATATTTTTATCTATTGCTATTCAGTAGCAATAAATTGCGCATTTGAGAGATATGACAAATGTGAACTAGACAAATATTGGATATTCGTATATTCATAGTAAATAATTATTCACATGACGGTGGCAATCTATAATATACATTTGTTTTGTACTTCATTTATCATTTAGGCTGAGGTTCAGAAACAACTAAGATAAAATCATTGAGTTTGATTTATTAGAATACAAAAATTTGGGTAAGAATATAACTTAAGGGGATAATAGAGAAATACAGTTTATGACATAATATAATTTATATCCAAGTATTAAAACATGCCAAACTCACTTAAGTATTTGAGACAGCATGTGTAATTGGGCTTATATAATGTACTTATATATACATATACGTATAATATAAGATTGGCAAGCTTTAATACTTGGTTATAAATTAAAATTTAAAGGTAAGCATTTAGTGGGAGGTTTCCTCTTGTCCAAATATATCACATGAATGTATGCTTGTCGTTTGCTTTGTACTGTCAATAAGTATAGGGTATTATTATCGAATAACGTATGATAAGAATAATGCAAAGCAAAAGAGCAAAACAAAGGAAAAGAAAGAGGCGAAGCAGAAGGAAGAGCGCAAGGCCCATCTCAAAGCCAGTGCCAGAGGCAGAGATATCAGCAGAGTGAGCAATCGAATTGAATAAGATAAATCCGACTTCTTATACATATGTGTATACATATATAAGAATGACATATGCAAATATTATGCTGGCACGTATAAGAGCCCAGAGTTCTGCTTGTCACAGACAGCAAATGGAATATGATAGAGTTGAGTTCTTATACATATAAGAATGTCATGTGCATACGTGTATTTATTATGTTTACACGTATACGAGCATAGAACTGAGCACATGACGCCGCTCTCTCGCACTCGCTCTCCTGCTCACTCACTCACTCACTCAGCCACCCTCCGGCTGCCGCACTCTGGGCTAATGAACTCTGCGGAGCGTGTCGCGCGCATTGCGCGGCTGACAACTAAACCAGATTAAAGCAGAGCCGAAAACAAATATAAATATAAATACAAATCAGCTGGTCGGCCCACTCCAGCTGGACTGGACCCACTGTGCAAATACCGCAATGCGCGCTGTCTCTCCTTCTCGCTCCTAGAGCTGGGCACCGGGTGCCAAATTCGAAAACCAATTGGGCTTTAATTTGAATGCGCAGTTTTATTTTTTGTTTTGCTTCCTTTTGTTCTTGTTGCTGTTGTTGTTGTTGTGAAATTAAAGTAGTTAAATATGCGGTCTCATATTTAAAGCTGACTAAACACAAATGCGGCTTGTTTATGTTAAATAACAGCAAAGTTTTTTTTAGTTTTTATGTTGAATATTTTTGTTAAAATTAATTTGAATTTATGTATTCATGTTTGGCAATAGAAATAACCTGTTTTTTGTTTCGTTCGCTTATTCAATATGTTTGATAAGCCTCTTAAATGCACAAATTCAACTTGTTTCGTTTTTATATTCACTTTTGTTTTGCCTCAACCACTGAGAGTGGATTTCCGATGCGAAGTTCTCGGCCGCGATCTGCACGCCAAATACGCGTCCCAAAGACTGATCACACAATGCCCGCACATTTAACGAGCGAGCAAGCCAAACCAAAAAGTCGCTGCCGATTCCATTTCTGATTCTGATTCCGATTCCGATTCTGATTTCGTTTCCATGCACTCAGCGAACGCTCTCAGGCGGCGAAAGGGCGGGAGCGCGTCGAGTGGAACTGTAAACAATAAACGGAATTGTGATAAAAATCAAATATGTTATAACGAAAATACTTCAAAAATCTGAATGCGGTTAAATGTGCACTCTGTGTAAGCAGCGCACGTCGCGAGAGAACGTCGTAGAAGAGAACCGGATTGTGAGTGATTAGTCAAGAGAGAGAGAGAGTGAGAGAGGGAGGGAGAGAGAAGACAGCGAGAGCGCACTTCAATACACGTTTCATCACTTTCCCTTTTATCTGCCTTTTCAATGCCAACTCTTCAAAGATAATGACAGTATAGTGCCCAATGCCCAATTCGCTCGCACACCTATAACAACTTATCAGAAACGCAAATAGCAATAACAATTCAGCTAATTCTTTTTCGGCTTAGATTTATTTCTATTATTTTCTTTGATTTCCTAATGATTGATAATAAATAATATGAAATAATCAAGCACTTGAAAAGGGGAATTTTTTTTTGTGTTTTATTTCTTTTGGCAATTGTTTAGAAATTTATTCTGTTTTTATTCTTTTTTGCCTTGATTTGATGCCAGAAATAGCATTCAATACGGTGATTATTGCATAAACACAGACACTTTTAATGAAAGTATCTGAAACATGAAAGTGCGTCAATACCAAATGCCACACACGAAGTCGAGAAACACATGTTTCTGTGTTTTTAGAAAAATCTCTATGAAAAATTTCCATTTCAATTTCTATTTTGATACAATTTTTTAAAGATTTTTATTGATTTCTGGCCGTGTTCTTGAAAGCAATTTGAGTTCTGCTCTTTTGCATACAATTATTTTGTGTGCGCTTGCTTAAGCTGGTTCATGATAAATGCATTGGCTGCAAGTTGAAATTGCCCAAAGACAATGCAAACATTTTTAATATTCAGTTGCACAGACAGCAAAACGTTTCGTGTGCAAAAACAAAGTCATAAATAAATTTTACAGCAGGCATTCCATGCATATTCACTGTCTCTCTCAACCTCTTTACACCTCTTAGCCCTCTCTCTCTCTCCCATACACTCAAATACCCTGTACCCTATGCCCTGTAAGCAATATCCAAACTAATATCAGAGTGTATGTGTGTGTGTGTGTGTGCTTCGGGATTAGGCAGACTTAAATGAATTTATGGCATGTGCTAATCTCCAAAGGGAGTTTCCACATGCATGAGAAAAGTCTGGAGCGCAAATCGAGCCAAAGACGGACTACGAATTACGTATGTAAGTAAAACCAGAAAGAGATTAGAGAGCAGAGCCCTATGTAGATACAAAAGATAACGACTTTTTTCATATTTAAGCCCGCTTTTACTTATTTCTCGCATAATTCTTTTGATATTTCCCTAAATATCAACAGCATGTAACTAAAGCAAAATTCCTTGGATCAAAAGCAGTTCGTAATGGGCCGAACATAATACAACTGGAGAGAAATTCTTGGAGAATTGTTTCATTTTATAATAGATAGAAGCCCTTGAGCTTCTTCTTGAGCAGACTACGTTTATTTTTTTTACATTAGTATATTTGATAACAAGTTTTTCTTTGAATAGAACAACACTGGGTTACTAAGAGATTTACTTAATCTATGTATTATTCACACTCATATATATGTACGTAAATGATTACAAACGTAATATTTATTTCCCAATAATATTGAATCATAAATTGTTTTATAGTTTTCTAGCAGTTTTATACCAGGCACTATTTCTTATCTCTAAAAGGTCGACGACTACTCAAATCAAAAGTTCCATATGAAGTTAGTCAACTCTGATAAGTTTTATTCAATGGAAAGTGGTTAATTCCTCTGTTTATTTTCAATTAATTCTAATCTCTATCTTATGTAGCACACGCTGGGATATTTCTGTGGGTGTTTATTTACAAATAAAATATTTTCGTAGCTCTCGGCTGCATTTAATTTGCAAATATTTTAGCAAATATTTTGTTTATCTTTTCCCCACATTTTGTTCACAGTTTATGAAGAAAATAAATCAGCAAACAGACATTTGAATATATGCGGCCTGAAACGTTTTATTATGGGTGAACAACATCCTTAACATTGATCAATGGTAATCATTAGCAAATCATCTCTCGCAGTCATTAATCATAATCGAAAATAAAATGTACATTGATCAGTTTCATTCTTATGGCAATGATGAATTACCCAAGTCATGATCAGCACCTAGTCAACTCTCATAATCAACATCATTGTCGTTATCATCAGAAATACTAGTATCAAATCTTTCATTGACATTATCTTAGTTATAACTGATTATAACTAAGATGATACTGAACCATTATTATTATCATTAACAAATCTTTCATTGACATTATCTTAGTTATAATCAGTATCATTATTATTATTATTATCATTATAATTACTATTAGGAATTGTATTATTATATGCAATTTCATTGGCATAAACTGTAGGCATAATCATTATGATTTGTATTATAATTAGCATATCATTGCTAACATCATTATCATTTTACCTCAGTCATTTTTTTATCATTTCTATAAAAACAGTCATCATCATTATGACTATCAACGCAATCGTAAGACTTTACAGAAACTATATCATCTATATCTTCAATATCTATATCTTCAATTACTCCATGATTAATCACTTAGTCGAGGTGACATCAATTAATTAACCAGCTCTACATGAAAAAAAGAAGAAGAAAACTCTTCACTTTACGCAAATGTTGACGTAACTAATTCTAAGCGCTCAGCTTCAAGGCCCGAGCAATGCAAATAGCAAAATTCTGTTGGCAATACAATTAGTGCACGCAGCGTGAAGCGATTGGGCGATCGGGTAGAGAGGGCGTGGTGGGTGCTGATGAAAAGCAGCAAAA